CTGTTCTGCTTCCCAGAAGTATTAACAACTTTGTCCTTGCATTTCTGGGTAGGTTTTATTCCCTCCTAGTTTCACCGAAGTAATCGTGTAAGACAGCTGGAAAACCCTGGCTGCATGCAGTGTTTTACAAATACCTTGATACTGCAAGATAAGACATAAATGAGAAGCTGACTGGCCAGTGGGAATATCTCACTTGCAGGATCATTCAGCTTCCTGATTTTACGAGTGCAAGCGAGCAGGGACAGAAACAGAGATGCTAATATTTCCGTGTCTGAGAGAGGTGATTGCTGTGTGATCCGCACAGAACCATGCGAAGGAACGCAGCCTTTCAGCACACAGCGCTGCACACTGAAACGAGACAGCGGCACCTGCCAGAAGGCAGCTCGGTTCTGCCGGCGAATAGAAGGCTGGATGCTCCGGGCGGGAGGCTGGCAGCCTGTGCCTGGGCTGCTCCTGGGCCCTGCCTGCTGCTCCAGCTGTGCCCGAGGAGCACCATCGCCATCCAGCGGCTCTGAGCTTGCAGTAAGAACGCCTGTCACTTGCCTGAATCACTTCTGATTAAAAAGAAAAAATGACACAAGCAAATTCTTTCTTTTTTTTTTGACATAAAGTGGCCCTCCTGTAGATTTTCTTTCCCAGCAGCTTCACAGCAGTCACAAGACACTGATAAAATCCTGACATGGTAAGGTAAGGCAGTGAATAAATACAAATTAAACATGCAGAAGTTGCTGGAGTTAGTGTATAGCTGGAGTTAGTGTATAGCTACGCTTAGTTTTAAATTTTTGCTTCTCACTCAGAGTAGCTGCAAATCACATAGCACAAAGATATTAATCAGGCACAGCTCCTCGACACCATGCATTCTCTTCCTCCAGTAAGATGGGATTTTCTATCAAGAAGCAAGGATGCAACATAAAGTTAGGAGGAACCGGTTCTGTTTCCAGATTCAGTGAATTTTCCATGTGACCTTTTAGCTCTGCTCCTTTAATTCTGCTGTTATAAAACTACAGTGTTACTCAGTACAGTCCCTTCTTCATGATGCCCATTTGCAGAATGAGCTGATTATAGCAAGAGCTGATGTCAGAGAACATGGTGGTGTCACAGAAACAAGCAGAAAATCCTGTGTGTTTACAAACTATGCATAAATATAATCTACACTATAAAATAGCATCCCTGCATGATGATACTACTGTTCTGTCAGTTATGAGTCCTTTTTTAAAAGAAATACTTTCTGTATTCCTTAGGTATTTAAAAGACAGAATTTTAGCAGGATAGGTTTTTTTACTCCCCTATGGAAAATCATCACCTATGCCTATGGCTCTTTTAATTCTTTATTTTTTTTTTTTCCCTGGTACTTTATCCATCTGTGTGGCATGGAAGAGCCAGGTGACCCTGCTTCCTGATTAGGCATGGAAAACAGTAGAATTTTCTTTTATTGTAACAATTTCAGTGTTAAAGCAATTATTTCCTCCATGCCCCTTCAGGCTAATGCTCCATCTGCTAGATCTAAAAGAAACACATATTGAAGAAGACATAAGCCCCCTGCATTTTGGTGCTGAATGCCCATATACCTACACATGCAGTGTTAGTAAGGATACAGTTGCTCTGATTGCTGTCTTTTCTTCTACATGGTATGCAGGAAGTGAAAATGTCATGTAAGTCGAGCAAGATTCTATCTCTTTCCTAATACTTCACTAAACCTTTGTTTTCTGGACTTTCTTTTTCTTTTCTTTGTGATAATGACCATGTACAGTTGTAAAATATTTCCAAAGGCAGAAGTATTTATTGCTTGGATAAAAACAGTCTTTGGAGATTGATATAGATTATTATATTGATTTAGCTTGAATCTCTATTGAGAAGTGTTTTCCTTCCTTATTTTGATTAACTGTCATCATGGTTAAAGGAACTGTTTTATTGTAACATCAAAATGTGGAATTTATTACACAAGTTAAAATTAAAGCAGTGAAACAAAAATTTCAAAGCATATTACTTTATTTTACCTCTTTGGTCATCAGGGAGGTCCTCCTAAATTAATCTTCCATGTCACCAAGGTTTAGCCATCTACTGAACCAAATAGGAAAATTATCATAAATATTTTCTAAATATTTTTATTTAGTAAGATTTAACAATAATTTAGATGCAGATGTTGAAATCTTACTCCAAAATTCAGTAAGTTACTCATGCCAATGTGCCTAAACTGATGAGCAGTGTCATACCAATCATGTGTTTAACCCTCTTCATGATTCAAAGCTTTCTCAGGACTGAAATGTCTCGCTGCTGCCTGTAGTTATATTGCATGAATCATGAGCTTAATCTTCAGGACATTGGCAAGAGGTGACTACGTTTTGAAGTAACAGGTCCTGTTGTGTGCTGAATAGCTAAGACTCTGCAGGTTTTCAAGCCCTTATTCCCTGTGGCACCTGCATTC